TTTTTTTTTTTTTAATATTCTTACATTTCCTTGCCTAATTAGTAATAATAATAACATACGTACATGTATATAATTTATTAGGTGTCAATGTTCTATAATATAATAAATAACTATAATGGAATATTGTTTAGTAGTAGTTTTATTTCTTTGTTTATTTTGCTTCATCAAACATTGTGTTACTAATCGTACAGTACAGCACTTGTAAATTACATGAGTGCGGCTAGTTAAAACGATTTATATTTAAATTATAAAGGAATGAAAAAAATAATCCAATTTTTATTATTTAAATTTCAAACAATTTTAACAAGTATTATCTAATTGTTCCGAACGCCGGGAAGTACACGAAATTTCATGATCCGATTCAATGTCCAATTATGAGAAATGTTGCAATCTCGTTACGGAATCATCCCATCTTTTATTTGACCATTATTTTGGCTCTTGTCCCCCAAAATGTGCGTTTATTGTTTTGGTCATAAAAAAAAAAAAAAAAAAAAAAAAAAAAAAAAAAAATGATGTTGGTCCTCTGACTGACCAAAGCCGATTTTTGGAAAGATTCATTGCTGAAGAGACTAGGGTGTTACACCATGCCAGTTGGATCCAAAATCAAAGCAACAAGTGTACTTAACAAGTCGGTTTCGCTACTGAGCTATCAGATGACTCGGCTTATGGAGTCATTCATAATTATCCACAAATAGTGTATGAACACGTGTTCTTCAATAATTACACATTGTACACGTGCCAATACATAAAATTATGAATGACTATAAAAAAAACTATCTCATGACTCCAGAGAATTTTTGTTTAACACATATTATTTTAATTACCAACATATATTTTGCTTAGATCATATTTTCACATATATAGCGCTTTTTTTGCATTGCAGATCAGACATATATGTATCTATTTCAATTAATTAAGCTTCAACTTAATTATCTCAAATTAGACCCTATAATATAATTATTAAACTACATAATTATTTTTTAATTAAAATTGACTATCAGTTTAATTAGACTCGTGTGTTGTGTATGTCATGAAAAACCGTGAACACGTAAAAAATCGCTACAATATATATATCCTGTCCAAACCGATTAATATATTTATACTTATGCAATAACAACATAATAATAACTGAAAATTGACATACTTATATATATATATAATTATATATATATAAAAAAAACAAATTCATATTTCTCAGTCCCACGTGTCAAAATAAAAAAAAAAAAAGTGAAAGAATTCTAATACTAGTCATATATATATAATACACTAATGGTAAAACCGTATCACTTTGTGTTTAGTTTTTCCACACAATTTGGGCCCTCCGATCATGATCCCACGGTGGCCACCCACAACAGCGACGGTCACATTCTTGCACTCGGCCGTGATCACATTATCATCGTAATTACCTTTGAACGTCAATTCGCACCCGAGCCCTTTCGACTCGAAACCCTCACGGGCCCACGGAGTGTCGAAGCTCACATTCCCGAAAGCCTTGTGGCCGAGTTCCTTGTGAAGGGCAATCCCGGATTTTCCGGACCATTCGGAAGTCGTGCTCGTGCACCGGAGCCAAGCGCTTAGATCTTTCAACAAATTATAGTCGTGAAGCTTCTCGAGCGAAAAGCCTAAGTCCCATTGGGCCGTGGCCCGAGAGCTTTCGTTATTGTTGGTCGTGTTGGTTACGAAAACCGAGAGGGAATCGATTTGGAAAGTCGGGTAGGTAGTCTTCATGATGACTTTATCGAATATTATAAACCATGCAATAAACACTGCTAATGCGGTAATCCTTGCCCAAATTTCGCAACACGTAGGTGGTTTCTCGTCGGAAGACGGGAGGTCGCGGGCGCCGGCGGTCGGGGGATCCATTGGGAAGGTGTGTGTTAATTTGGACTTGCAATTAGAGATGGACTTACTGTGTTTTGAGGGGGAAGTTTGTTCGTGTGTTATAAAAATATATAGGGATTGGTTTATGTGATTACCGGCACTTATACAATTCCTCTTCAGACAGAATTCTTTTTTTGTTGGTCTTTTAATTATACCATAATAATGTACACAATAAAAATTGAAAGTAATATATCCAATTATCAGGCAAAATACTAATTGCAATTATTATATTATATTTATTTATTTAGTCATTTACTTTAATTAATCCTACAATATAACTTTAAATCACAATCAACAAACAATTTTTTTTAAACTAAATAATATGTATTTTTTAATTTAAATTGACTATCAGTTTAATTAGAATCCAAACTATGAACTCGTAAAAGATTGCAACAATTAATATATGTCCAATCCAATGCAATAACAACATAATTATAAACATTACTGAAAATTGAAAACTAAGTACATGCCCAAAAAAAAAGTATAAATAATTCTAATACTAATCCTACACTAGTTGATATTATAGCGATTATTAATATTAATAATGCGTGTATGTTAATTCTAATACTAATCCTACACTTGCTGATGCTATCAAAGAATCGTTGGGTAATTTTAACGTCCGGTTCCCGGCAGGAGAAATCAACAGAAACATCCTCCTCCGATCCCCTTCTTCCTCTGCTTCATCTTCCTCTTGGTCCATCTCCACATGGGACCTATGCTTATTCACCATATCTCGAAACGTCCATCGAAAGGGGGGGTTACTTGCTGGGGCGGGTTTGTGCACCGGTGGTGCGATCGGGGAATCGGACTGCGGAAGGTGTTGAGGGTCCAGGAATTCTCCAACCCGTTTCCGGGTTATCAAACGCTTAGACGCGGGGAGAGTGGCTGTTGCAAAGGCGGAAACTCCGTTGACGTAGCGCGCGCCGGCGGATCGACCCCGGGATCGAAAGTTACCGTGCCGGGGTTCAGTGTAGCAAGAGCATTCTCTTCATATTCCATTTTTTTTTAATAAACAAGACTAACTTAGATAATCTTAGATAATAAAGATTTGTCTATCCAATTAGGTATCTAATTGTTCAATAGCTATGTTATTCCTCTCTAGTTTTATTAATTAATACTTGATTCCAATTGTTTTTAATTAATCAGTAATAATTATTAAAATATTATATTAATGTACGACAAATAGTTTTTAATTAGTCCTTTATCGTGACCATTATTTTTCACTTCAATATACTCGGCTCGATTCCGGATTAGTCGGTTCCCCTGGGGATCCGGAAACCGGAAGGTCCCTATACAAAAAAAAAAAAAAAAAAATATATCCAATTATTAGGCAAAATACTAATTGCAATTATTTTCACTTCTCGCAATTTTCCGTTACTTCAATATATTATATTTATTTATTTATTCCTTTACGTACATTAATCAATCCTACAATAATATAACGTTAAATCACAATCAATAAACATTTTTTTTTTAAATTAAATAATATTTATTTTTTAATTTAAATTTACTATCAGTTTAATTAGAATCGTGTTGCGTAATGTCACAAACTGTGAACTCGTAAAAGATTGCAACAATTAATATATGTCCAATCCAATGCAATAACAACATAATTATAAACATTACTGAAAATTGACATACTTATATATCAGATTTCTGAGTGCGATCAAATTGAATAAAACCAAGTACATGCCAAAAAAAAAAGAAGAAAAAAAGTAATAGTAATTCTAATTTCTAATACTAACCCTACCCTAGTTGATATTATAGCGATCATTAATAATGCGTGTATACTTAGTTATTTCACACGATTTGGGTCCTCCGATCATGATTCCACGGTGGCCCTCGATCTTGACCGTCACATTCTTGCACTCGGCCGTTATCGCGTTATAATCGTAATAGCCTTTGAACATCACATCACATCCATGCACCTTCGACTCGATATAGTCCTCATGCGTGTCGAATCTCACATTCCCGAAACCCATATTCCACCCATCTTCCTTGTGAAGGGCAACAACGGATTTTGCCAACCATTCGGGAGTCGTGCACCGGAGCCATGCGCTTAGATCTCCGAACGAGTCACCGTCGTGAAGATTCTCGACCGAAAACCATAATTCCCATCGGCCTGTGGCCCATGAGCTGTCGTGGTTTGTTGTGTTGGGTACGGAAAACAAGAGGAACTCGATTCTGAAAGTCGGGAACGTAGGCTTCAACATGACTATAAGGAATACTATAGGAGGTGCAAGGCACGCTACTATGAAGACATGGGCTGCTAAGTCGGCCCAAAAACGTGATTCCTCGTCGGAATTAGGCGGGAGTTCGGCGGCGTCGGCGGCCATGGGGCAGGTGTGTGTTAACTTGTACTTGCAATTAGCCATATATATTGTGTTTTGGGTGGGAAGTATTTTTTTGTGTGCGTGTATATATATTTATATAGGCATTAATTTATGCAATTACCTTTTCGGAATAAGGTTCCCTTTTTTTTTTTTTTTCTTTATACAAGGTGTTTATATATATAAATATACAAAAACATTAATTAATTTTGACTTTATTTAGTTATATATTGTACATTATTATAGTATATAATATTTTTATGTTCATATTATTTTAAAATTTATGAAATTTAAAGATTTTTCATATATGGAAAAAAATATACAGAATATTATTTTAATTTTTAGTTATAAACTATTTTTTTATGGAGAAAATATATTGTCCATATAAATTATTTTTGTTGTGTTGTAAAATAATATTTTTTTGCTGTGCTTACCATATATATATTTTTTTTTCAATTTTCGTACACATACGTGTGCTAATCGCTTATTTTGACTTTTTACCTAGATAAAAAAACTAATTTTACATATTTTGTTATGGAACAATAACTTTATTATATTATATTTATTTATTTATTCCTTTACATTAATCAATCCTACAATAATATAACGTTAAATCACCACAATCAATAAACATTTTTTTTTAAAATAAATAATATTTATTATTTTTTCATTTAAATTGACTATCAGTTTAATTAGAATCGTGCTGCGTAATGTCACAAACTGTGAAAATTGACATACTTATATATATCAGATTTCTGAGTGCGATGGAATTGAAAACTACGTACGTGCCAAAAGTAAAAAGTAAAAATAATTTTAATACTAATCCTACTCTAATTGATATTGTTGTGACCAATAATGCTTATCTCCAGCTGATGGACTTAGCCGATACGAAGCTATGCGTATATGTTTAGTTTTTCCACACGATTGCGGCCCTCCGATCATGACCCTACGGCGGCCACCTTCGATCTCGACCGTCACATTCTTGCACTCGGCAGTGATCACTTCATAATCGTAATAGCCTTTGAACGTCACATCACACCCAAACACCTTCGACTCGATATAGTCCTTGCACGTGTCGAAGCTCACATTCCCGAAAGCCTTATCTAACCCATCTTCCTTGTGAAGGGCAATAACGGATTTTGCCGACCACTCGGGAGTCGTGCACCGGAGCCATGCGCTTAGATCTCCGAACGGGTCATAGTCGTAAAGATTCTCGACCGAAAACCCTAATTCCCATCGGACCGTGGCCCGTGAGCTGTCATGGTATGTCGTTTTGGGTACGGAAAACGAGAGGGACTCGATTGTGAAAGTCGGCAATGTAGGCTTCAACATGACTATAAGGAATACTATAGGAAGTGCAAGTGCTACTGTGAAGACTAGGGCTGCTAATAATTGGGCCAAAAAACATGGTTCCTCGTCGGAGTTAGGCGGGAGTTCGGCGGCGTCGGTGGCCATTTGGGCAGGTGTGTATTAACTTCTACTTGCATTTAGCCATATTGTGTTTTGGTTGGAAAGTATTTTTTGTGTGTATATATATTTATATAGTTTTAATATGGAACCAACAATTGTGCTTCATAATGAAGTAAATTTTTTATATATAAAAGTAAATCATATCATATCTTCTGATTACTTAAAAAAAATACTAGTAATTCTATTAATATGAAATTATTTATATAGAGTCAACTTTCTATATACAAAAGTAAATCATACTATATTTCCTAATTACTTAAATAAATAGTAATAAATTTTATTAATATGATGATGCGATTTACTTATTGTATATAGAACCAACTTTCTATATACCTTTATAAACTAATCTATCTATCTATATATATATAAAAAGAATTACCATTTTTTAAAAATAGTATGTCAAATTCTGGTCAAATCTCAATTAGCATTAATTACATTTCATAATTAGTAACTTTTTTTTATTTTTTTTTAAAAAAATCAGCATTAAACGCTACCCTAAAATTATGGTATTTGATACTTTCTTTCAAAAAATCGTGCTACCATAAAGAAACAATATTACATACCATACATTTTTTGCTAACTAAAGTGTTTTGTTTAGAAACTATTATATTTTAATTAAAACTAATTACGGTTTATTTAATCTTGAAATGGTACAACAATTTTTTTTTTTAATATGCACCCTAAATTTATATATTTTGTAGATTTAATTCAGGTAAATTTCGACTGATGCAAAAGTCAATTTTCTTTCTCTATTTTTATTAACAAAAACTGATTAAAATAAAATCAAGAATTTTGAATTAGGCAAAATACTATCACGTATATCTTTTACTAATTGAAACAAATAAATTATTTATTATAAAAATCGGATTGCATAGTCGGCATGACAATTTTGTAAGAGTCAAAATTTTTTCATTTTTTTATTCAAAAAATATGTTTACCATACAATCGAGAATTTTGAATTAGACAAAACACTATCACATGTATCTTTACCTAATTGTAGAAAATCATGTTTATTAAAAAAAATCGGATTACATAAAAATCGGGCCAAATTTCAAATTAAAAACTAAAATCTTTTATTATTTGATTACTACTTTCTTTAATTCAGCCTTTTTCAAACATAAAACAAAGTCATATAATATTAATTTGAAATTCAAAATGAAATCGGATTGTAATATCCTAAAA